TTTAAAGTTCAGCAAATTACGACTTAAAGATGGTACATTCAAATTAAATATTTTGTAGGTCTGTTTTTTGAATCTCGGGATGAATTTTAAGAGTCTGACGAGTTAAAGTTAGACTGCGAGCAGTCTCTTAATTTTCTTTGCAAAGTTACTGCACGCGAAAAGCAAGCACGCGAGGGATTGGGACCAGACGACGTCTTTTCTCTATCTGGTCCCAGTCCCTTATTGTAACATAACAGATTCCTGCGGTCGACAGTTCAGATCCCCTTTTTAAGCTTTTCAGGCTTTATTTTCGGAACTGTTTAAGTTGCGTACATAACAAATTGATCTTTCACGAATTTAATCTTCATCCCGCAGTTTCAAAAATTTGAAATCTTATATATATTCTTTTATAATATTTCCATTTGCAATAAATGGCGCGCTGTCAACTTACCTTTTACACTCGCTATTGCGGCAAACACCTGCTATTTCTAAATATTCTTCATAATATTGTTTGCTTGGCTTGACGGTTTCCTGTAGACGTGATTCAATTTACAAACCTGAATGACAGTGTAATAATTTCAAAGTCAGGAACTACAACCTAAGTGCCTGCAACACATCGGCTTAAAACTCTTGTGATAACAGTTGACGATGTGATTAGACAGCACATAGCCAAGGAAGAAAGCCTGCTACATAGTCCTCTTGATAAACTTTAGTCTTCGGACCGTCCCAGTTTCAGCACTGAAATCCGGCAAGTACTCGGTATAAATATATTGATCGACAAGCAAGAGATGGCTCTCTCTGAAAAAAACTGTTCATGGGATGATCCACTTAGCGCAACTGTAGAATCTGAGATGACATTAACAAAAGTCTTAAGACTGAGCCTTGAGGTTCTTATAAGCTTGTTCGGAGTCGTTGGCAACATTTTGGTAGTCATTGTGATAAGTCATCTTGGAAAGAAAAAAAGACCAGGGGACTACTATTTGCAAAATTTAGCCATAGCAGACCTTGGTACACTAATGATGACTTCTCCTCTCCTCATTATTAGATTGGAAATGCCTTTGAACTGGCCATTTGGCGAGATTGCTTGTCTCTACTTGTACCCTGTTGCGGAGATTTTCTACGGTTCATCCGTGTGGTGCATAGCGGTTATCGCAATTGAACGCTATCGGAAAATATCTCCAGTTGAGATTTATCGTCGAAACAGAACGCCGATAAAGATAGCAAAACGTACTGCCGCTCTTGTGTGGGTGATATCATTTTTAACATTATGCTTTCCACTCTACTTCGTGGTTGATTATCAAGCCCTTTCGAATAGAAGTCAGTTTTGCGGTCCGATAAGATGGACACATTTCTTAGAGACAGTATATATAATCTGTCTTATTCTGCTGACCTATGTCATACCTCTCGCTATTATATCATTTACCTACATCGAGATATCTCGCGTGTTGAGGCAGAGCATTAATATGACCAGACCGTTGAAACAGGCACACCACTTGGCCAAGTTACAGAGCGACAAACGCAATTACCAGGTCAATCTAAACAGCGTTCGTCTCAGACAAAACATTCGAGCGAAGAAAATTCTGAGTCCACTTGTTGTGATATTCGCGGTGACAATGCTTCCTTTAAACGTCTTTCGTCTGACCATGGTTTTTTGGCCAGGATTCTCTGGGCAAGAATACTTTGCACATTTACTACATGTGGCGGTAGTTTCCACGATAATTAACTCGGCGGCAAATCCTGTGTTCTATTCTGTAGTTAGCAGAAACTTTGGAAAGAGGATGCTAAATCATTTACTTTGCAGAAACTGTTCATTTGCCTAGAATGACAACTTACGCTGCCTAATTTGCGAGTTTAAATCTACCTGGGGCTATGAAAACTGGGTTAGCAGACATTCTGTAATTTCTTTCAACTTCTCCAATAGCTAAATGTTTACTGAGGTGTTTGCTCATGTCGCTTTTTTTGTTCGCTTTGTGGGTAGGGCTTTGTGTAGATGTGGCTGTAGACAGAATTTCGCTAATTTCTTTCCACCGCCCTCCCCCCTTCCCCCCCCGCTTCACTCCCTCCCTTAGCTTTTTTGTTTTTGTTTTTTAGTTTTGTTTTCATCCTACCCACAATTCTCTCTAAACACAAGTGACAGTTATTTGAAATCAGTGCGCCCCTGAATCTACGCGTTGGCGCCGTTTAACAGTTTACATGTCGTTATTGGTCACCTTGAGAAAAGTTTCCGGAGAGCATCGTGTAACGCTCTGAGATGGGACAAAGTTATTACGATTCGCAGAGTCTGCATCGTCCAATATCGTATTGTATTCTCGTTTCATTTGGCCACACGGATCAATCACCCCGATCCAAGACTTCAAGACTTAATTTTATACTTTCTAAAGAATATTTTTGCAAGCCTGTCGTGGCACCGCAAATAGCCGTAGCTAGTCTACGCTGGCCAGGAATGATACGAAAAGAAAATAACTGCAATTAGATTAAGGTTTGAAAAAAAAAAAAAAAAAAAAAAAAAAAAAAAAAA